TATTAAATATTTTGCATAATCATACATTATAAAAATTAAAGTCACATAATATAAATATGTAAATTAATATTTGTTTCAAAATAATTGACTAGTCACAATGATTTATACCTATAATTTATTTGTTATTCGTTATTATTCAATTTGTGAATTGAAGTGTATTCGAATTACAAGAGCTACCAATCTTCCATAACTGTTACTTTGAGACTATTAATTTTATTTTTAACTTTAATATTTTCTTTTTCATTATTTATCAAACAAGAAAAGAGATACCACAGACACTAAAAAGAGATGAAAAAAAAGTTATATTTAAATAATAGAAAATCCAAGAAAAACTATAACACATCGTTGTCTTAATGTATACGTATTGCACATGTTCTTCATTTTAGTCCGTACCTTAATTTTGTTACTTTATGTTGCATATATAATATGTTTGTTTCTCAAAGATCATGTATTTACACGTAGGTAGTTATATATTGTTTTATCCACAGTTTAAAATAAAATCGGATTAAAATTGTTAATTCTAGATAAAGAATATATTTTCAACCAACCATTAAATCATTATGAACTTACCCACAACACATCTATATTTATTATTTTTATGATCATTCTCAATAATTACCTTATAATTTAATTAAATTTATTTTTACCTATTTCACCTGTGGTGTGCACAGGTTATAACCTAGTATATATATATATATATATATATATATATATATATATATATATATATATATATATATAATATCATGCGAAAATACAAATAATTTGCGAAACACAAAGAAAACCAATAAGATTGTGTCACCTCAACCTTATATTTTCGATAAGAATCCATCCAAGTTTTTTCCTACATGATGATAATTGATGATACATGAAAAATTGTTTCATATTAGCAAAGTATGTTCTTTGATATTTTTATTATGAAAACTTAAATTTAAAAGTTGTTAATGATGTGAAAAAAATAATAATTATTAAAACAACTTTTAAATCTATATTACCATAACGTCCTCCAATGTAAACTTATTATTTTTAATTTATTGTTAATAAATTTAATTTTTAAAGTATATATGTTCGATTTTTATTAGATAAAGTTTGTTTCGCATATTTGCAATATATATATATATATATATATATATATATATATATATTCTCGCATTAACCCACTTGTTGTGTGTGATATATATATATATATATATATATATATATATATATATATATATATATATATATATATATATATATATACACACACACACACACACACACACACACACAGAGAGAGAGAGAGAGAGAGAGCTAGCCCTTAGTCTCCACACACGCTAATTTTCCAATTCAGTTGTCACGATCATCTGGTCTCTAAAGGACAGTCGGAAATATCGATTGTCATCTACTCATCTGATTAGTGATTATCTACCAAACTATTACTGAAGGTAAGATCGATTATACTGTAATGGTATTTTATATTTTCAGTTATCGTATGTGAATTTGTAAATTGTGACTTGTTCATTTTTTCATTGTTCATTGATTACAAGTTTACAGTAGATTATAGAATAATTATATTCTCAAATCTGTTTTCTCTTTATTTTTAGATTTTATTTTTTCACTAAGATGTATTCTTTTTCTAGCTTTCCAAAATCTTTTATCTTGTACACTTCTATTCTCAAATCTCAAGGGGTCAGGCTGCAGGTATAATCCTAAATCCTAATCCATCTCGGTGATTGTTCATTGGTAATTATTATTCAAGATACAATTGGAAAATTGTTATTAATTATCAATTAAGTAATAATCATCTCAAAGAGAAAATATGAAGCAGAGTCTTCAAAAAGAAAAGGAAAATGCAACAGGAAGCTTTTATAGGTAAACAAAAAGGATCGTTTTTAAATATTTAAACTACAAAAAATGTTGATAATGAACAATAAAAAAAATTAATGTTGATAATGAACAAAAACAAACTAATGTTAATAACATTAAGTATAGTAAATACAAAAGTATCATATATTTTGGGTTTGCTTAGAGCCCCCAAACTTGTTGAGTCGCCTCTGGTAATGATTAACATAGTTTAAAGAAACATGTTTTGTTAGAAAACACATGTGTATTTCTTTTTTATTTTCGCCACTACGTTTGAAGCTTTTGCGGCAAAAATAAATGATTGGCTGAGAATCACTCCCTTATTCTCAACCTTTTTTATTTTATCAATTGAACTATATATATATATATATATATATATATATATATATATATATATATATATATATATATATATATATATATATATTTCATCTTTTTCTTAAAAACACATTACTTGAAAATAATATTTAATAAAATAAATATATTATATTATATGATAAAGTCAGGGTCAATCCAATTTTAGACACAAAACAAATACATGGAAAATCTCCATTGACATACTTTCCTATATTTATTTGATAGGGATATTTAAAAAATAGCAAAAAAGATTTGACAAAGTCACCTTAACTAGAGTAAAACTTCATTTTATTCATTGTTTTAAATAAATAAAAAAAAAAAAATTATATATGATACATGACAAATTTGAGTTTTGGGGCCTCAAGCCGAGGCTTGGGGCGGTCATTCAACTTGACATACCCATAAGTACAACCCTGATTCAAACGAGTAGTCCTAATCTCATTTTCTTATCAAATATGAACTCAAAAAAAAAAAAAAAAAAGTATTGCATGTATCGTTAGAAAAAAAAAATCATATAAACAAATCCATTATTTGATATAAAATATAAAATATAAAATATAGTTAATACATTTAATTTAATTTAATTTTAACATGTAAATTAGATATGATTAAAAAAAAAAAAAAAACAGAAATGATTTTATGATTTTATCACTCAACAAAATCAATTAAATTATCTAACCAAAAACTTGGTTTTATTCAAAGACATTTATTTAATGTCTCTATCATTCGGCCTTTGATTCAACTTTTAATAAAATAAACAACCCCTCAAACAAATATAAGTAGGTTGGCAATAAATTAGTAAAAACTACTCTAGGTAGATTGTAATCAAAATATTAATGTAATGCTGACGTCGTGAAAATCGTGTCCATGAGACAAAGACAACGATATTTCTTAGCTCGATAGCGATTATACTATTCGCTCGATAGCGATTATACTATTCATTATTAAAAATAAAAAATTATAATTTACATGAGAATTTCTCTTATTGATGATTTACAATCGAATATCAGTGCTCTCAAACCAAATTTGCTTGAATACCTTGATGATCAAGTCATGATAATCATCGGAATTCAATAGAAGATAGCATGCAAGAAGATCCTCCAAATCCTTTGAACTCTTCATGTTATTTTGCATTATCATCTCCACCATTGATTCTTTAAAATCCCTACCAGGATCCACCGATGTTTTAACCACCGCCATACTCTCCGACAAACTCCGACGGTAGCCATTGTTTTTCCGGCCGCCGCCGTTTATTCCCTGTACCCTAACTCTGTTCCCCACTCTTGGGGAGTAACAGTTTCCTTTGACTTTCCCACCTGGAATTCTTCTAACCGGACTACGTGTTATGTGTGTCGTCGGAGTCCCCATAACGTCGTCCTTCACAACCTTCATCGATAAACTCCGGCTTCCGCCGTCTATCATCCATTTACCCGACTCAAGTCCCTCTTTTTTCGTTGACTTCGTTATGATCGGCGGGAGGTCAACGTTCCTATATACTTCGTCGTACGATGAAGTCGTGTTACACGAACAACTGAGAGATTCCCGAGACGAAATAGGTTGTTCAGACGATAGGAATTCAATGTCAGAAGAGTTGGAAGCTGTCCAAATGGACTCCGGAGTGACCCGACAGTAGCATCTTCGGGGTAAAGTGTGTTCCCCGGAGACTGATTTCTGTTGAACTGGTTTCTTGTAGGTGGGAGGTCTTCTTTTCTTCGATGAGTTTCTTGGTGTTTCCGGTGACTGGGTTTTCAGTGGTGGCGATTCTTCTGTTAAGTCTCTAGGGATGTAGTAGGATTTCCTCTGGTCGGCGACGAGATGATCTTTGGTGTGGGGATTGGAGGAAGATGATGATGATTGTTGTTTTTTGGTGAGTTTGTTCTTGTGAAACCAAGAATTGTGTATGAAGTTGGAAAGTTTAAGCCTATAATTGGCCATGGGGAAATGGGTCGAAAGCTGAGAGGTGAAACAGATGGAAGCTTTTAGAACACTGGATTAATGGAGGACACCTGCGGGTTGAGTATTGAGGAAGATAAATAAATACAGATTATGGGGTGACGAGAGGTAGGGGACCAAGAAGGCCAAAAAGTCACGTACAAAACAAAAAAAATCTAGTAGGGCCGACAATGGCTGGTAAAGATGCGTAATTGGTAATGCTAAATTGTCACTAAGTTTTATTAATTAAAGGTATTTTAATTTCATAAACAAAATAAAAATAATAATTGAAATATGCCACTAGGGAGTTTTTAAATTCTCTACTGTTAAAAAAATAATATATATATATATTAGAGCTGGTCAATTAAACGAATCTTATCCACTAAAGAGGTCATCATGCTGAATCGATCTCAAGATTTTGATGGTGGAAGAGTAAATCGTTAGACTTTCATTGTTGAGTCAATTTACAAATATATAATTTCAACAAAATGCATGTTTATGTCAAATCAAATGTAAGAATCCAAACCATAATATGGCATATTGATGACCATTTGAGATTTAAACACTCTAATAACTAATGATCTTATGTTCAAATCCTACAAACTTTAATCTTATAGTGACCTACCGTTAAAGAAAAATGTTAGCATCATAGATGATGTTCTTTAGAATATATACCTTCTAGTATCATTCTACATTCATGTTATGTTATAACTTAATATAGCATCATAAATGATGTTCTTTAGAATATATACTTTCTAATGTCATTCTACATTCATGTTATGTTGTAACTTAATATTATTATTTATTTTTATTATATAATAAGATGATAATGAATTAAATATTTAATCAAATTATATGAAAAACATATGAAAGAAAGTTGGATAGAAAAGTACAAGTATTTTGAAGAAAAGTGGCGCAAAATTAGCAAAAGTAGCAGGGCGTGGGATGAAGATTTGGATTTGGGAAAATATGAGTGTGTCGGTATCACATTTCAACCCGATGTCTCTTCTCCAATTCGGGTTGGTAACCGGTCCTTTTCTCTTTCACATTTTATTTATTTATTTATTTATTTATTTTGTGACGGTGTCTTCTCATACTCGACTCATTCAATGTAACGCTTGCTTGCTGCATAATAATAAAAGGACGGAATGAAACTTATCGAATGAAATTTATTAAGAAAATGAAATTTTGAAATAAAATATCGATATCCACCATCATTGATAAAATAAATGTATGTGACCAAAACGAAATATATTTGACAACCGTACTGATTATTGACTACTGCAACAAACAAGATTAAAACATTTATTACAAGCACCAATCATCAAATATAGGATATGGCAATCTTATATAAAAGAGAACCACACAATTTCTATCCTTATTTACCAAAAAGGTTGGGCAATAAAACGTGTAAAATTAATCAATTAATTAGCAAAACATCGCGGTTGCAAAAGACCAACAACAAGGGTAAAACCAGAAAATAACAATTTTCTTATGGGAAAATGAGTCAAACCACCTATGAATTTTTTAGAGTTTACTTATTTAGTTCCTAAAATATTTTTGTTGCTTTACGCGGGCATAAGATAGGAAGCAACCTGCTTTTTTAATCACCATAACTTATTTGAGTCAGTTTTATTATCAAGTTAACTATTTTTGCCCCGTCACTCGTTGGAAAGTCAATTATTTTTATCATATCACCATAAAGTACCTGAACTGTTTATTGGTGTTCTAGATGTTCACATTCATCAATCACCACTCAAACCATCAATGGAGGTGGACAAAATCCAGTCTTTAATGAAACCCTTCGGATTAACGTTCCCATGATTGAATATTCTCTCAAGTGGGAGATATACATGCTAAGTAGGGTGAGAAATTATCTTGAACATCAATTGCATGGTTTTGCTTTGATCCCTTTATCTGAAATCATCATCAAAAACGAAAAATTGGAAAACGATTTCACTTTATCTTCCACCGATCTCTTCCACTCGCCTTCTGGTTTCGTTCACTTATTGTTATCATACACCGGAGCTTCATCGGACGTGATCGACATCCTGCCGCCACTTCCAGTGAAAGGAGCTACTGCCGATTCAGAATTAGCCAAATTCGACAAAATCGAGTCCCCAGATCCTAAAATCGTAAAAGAAAACCACATTATGGTGTCAAAGTATTTCGGTCTTAGTTTAGAGAGGTTGGTCTCATCTGATACTGATGATCGATTTGATGCACCGGTTTAAATCTAGCAAACTTGATTCACCCCCATTCTCATATGTTACTCACGTTCGAAACACCGAGTCATCAGATGAAGTCATCAGTCACCTGATGACTCTTCTAGAGACTCAAAATGTGCAAAATTGGAATACGATTCACCTTTAAAGGAAATATGATTCACCTCGTGGATTTGTGTAAGATCCAATTTCTAGGTAGTTGAAGAACGAAGGGAAAATGATTTATAATTTATTACATACATGGATCAAGGGAAGTAGGGCCATAAGAAAGGCTTATGTGGCAAGGGGTAACCGGTTTACCCCTTCAATTCTTGCAAAGGGACCTAATAGACTCAACAAAAACAAGTTTATGCCCCCATAAAACAACTAAAATACTTTAGGGATTAAATATGTAAACCTTAGAAAGTTCATAGGTCGTATGTATCATTTTCTCTTTTCTTATTTTTGTATTTCATGTTTCATATTTTCACTTAATAAATTGATTCATCCACTTGAAATGTATTTTTACTAACTTATAGGATAGCTGCAAAGGTGGTGTACCTCATGTGGATGGATCAAATTATTAAGTGGAAATATCACTTAACATGTAAATATTATAAGCATGCTAACAAAAAGCCAGGACAGGAAAACATAAATATATAGAGTTAAGTGGATTTTGAAGTCAAATAACTCATTTTACAACTAATTTATTATTTCTATTACCAAACCACGTAAAACATAAATCAACTATGGAATAAAAAATCACGTTTTATTTGTGTTGAAAATGGTGTCGTTAACAAACATACAAATCACCCACCAAGTAGTTAAGACAATATAGCTTCAACAACCATTCTATTGGGCTCAGCTTCATCGAGTTTTGAGGGGGCAAATTGGGTAACTGCATAAGGCTCAATTTTTTTAGTCCTTCCGAAGTGAGTCCATCCAAACTATCAACTTCATGATACTAGCAACTTTCGAAACCAACAAATCAATCTAATTGGAAATCGCATTCCATGTTCTAGCTCCGATTTCACATTCCACGAAAAACATGATCCAACGTTTCTCTATGCATGCAACACAAGGGATAAAACATGGAAGGCATGTCATGGCTTTAAAAACCAAATTAAGTCTGTTAGGCAGCCGATTCAACAACAACAACAACAACAACTGCTAAGAAAAAATATTCATTTTCCTAGGTACCAAAGAACACCATCTAGTAACCCTATTTACTACGTAAAGAAGGAAGTCATTAATGTGTTTTCTAGTAGCATTTACTATGAATTTACCTTGATCATCCAAGTCCAAACCTAACGACCCCTTTGAGAAGTCGTGTGAAATTCAGAAAACAAAGCTCTTAACTCATCTAATTGACTAGATTAAACACAACCTTTCACCTCCTAACGTAAATTCCAACCCCACAATTATCAGCCTACCGATTATCTATAAAAACAAGTACCATCTCTATCAAGATAGAAAATTCTAGGAAATATTTCTTTAAAATGTTTTTTCCCACCCATGAATCATCCCAAAACATCGTACACTCCCCATTTCCAACTTTTTAACATAAATTTCAATGAAGAATAACACATTTTTCCATGACACTTGTTCATCACGGTCACAATCCTTAGCCATACATAATAGCCTTAGGTTTAATCCCCCCCCCCCCTCACACACACACAAGTACACCCGTTTTCTCTTCATAGACAACCTTTATCACCTTAACCCACATAGCTTTCTATTCTATCATGAACCGCTACTACCATTTTTTAAGTAGAGCGTAATTAAATCCCTCAAACTGCTAATTCCAACCCCATATTTATCTTTTCAAGCAATAACTAATCCCGTTTTACCCATATAACTATTTAGTCACCACCTTCTCCACCTTAGAATTTTTTTGATATAAACGACTCTAAAGTGTGTTCGACAACATTTACATAACAAGCATAAAACACTCCTCAATGGAAACCATGTTAGTCTTCATTTCGAAAAAAAATTCTTAAACATGTCAACAATTTGTTACACCTTACAAACCATGCCATATTATCCCATATGAATCCCTAAATAAATAAAAGAGATTTTCTCAGCATGTAGCCTGCAACCTCCATAGACATGCTCACCGTTTCAAACAACACCCCTACCCCATATAAATTGGACTTGTGAATATCTATCATCCTAAAACCAACCATGTTGGGGTGCAAAGTTCTCATTGAATGTGATGTAGGCTTACCCTCTTAGGGATGAGTAATTGGTTGAGATTTTTCTATAAATAGGAATTGAGATGCTCCTATTTATGTAACAACATGAGAGATTAGTCTAGTGGGAAAAATATTGCAAGACCCACTTTGTAATAAATTTCTAGACTAATGAGAGATTAAACCATTTTATTTACTTCTTATGTTCTTGATATTTTTTGATTCACATAACCATTACATTTCCGCATTTGCCATCAATCTCAGGATCTTAGATGTGGTATCAGAGCGGATGCTTGAAGTTTTCAAGAAATTGATCCATGAAGACATTTTTAATTTGGTGAATCATTAATCAAACTTCATGTTTTAAGTTTTCTTCCTTTGAGAGAGTTTTTGGTTTTAGGAATCGAATTGATTCTTTGATCTTGATTCAAATTCGATTTACTCTCTCTTGAAATCATGTGATTTTTGCTTTCTCTCTCTAGAATTTCATTCGAAATCATTTTCTCTCTCTAAGAATCTCATTTAAATCACTTTCTCTCTATAGAAATATTCAATTTCTTGTGATCTTTTTGTTAATTGATCAAATATGGTGTGTATGGATTATGATTATTGGATCGTGATGATTGAAGATGGCAAGTACAAAGTCAATGAAGAACAATACTATGGGTTATTTTTGAAAGGTGGATTGATTACATGGAATACTTTGATTTCTTATGGGAACAAGAAAGATGATTCTAGAAAATTGATATTTCAACCTCTTTGTAAGATCAAAAATCTGATTGAAATAACAATGAACATGATAACTTGAGCTGGAAATAAAAAGGAAGGAAGAGAAAGAGTATTGTTCATCAAGAAATATGTGTCTATGATTGAAGATCCAATTGATCTTTATGCTCTAGAATTTGTTGATGATGTTCCTAAAGTTCATAAAGATGTTCTTGAAGAAGTTCATCATGTTCATGATGTTCTTGAGTTTCATGACAAGAGATTCAAAGCAATTATCATGAAGTGGTAAAAGTTTTTTATTTGATTGGAGTTCAAATCGATGATTATTTGTATTCTTGCGATTCATTTGAAGTAATGGTGCCTTATAGAAAGCCTTCAATCCAAGGTGTTCAAATGTATCAAATTCCAAAAGAAATTATTCAAAGTTTCCAAGTTCAGGATGAGAAGAATGAGGTTATTTTTAGATTCAAATCTTCAAGATCCAAAAAAAGAAGAAGAAGAAGAAGATCAAAGTCAAGAAAATTTGGTTACCCAAGCAAAGTTCATCAAATGTTTGTTTGATGTCGAAATATGTAAAGACAATTTGGGTTCCTAAGAAAAAATCATCAAATGTTGCTATGGTATCAAATTCTAAAGCCAAAATTGTTGAAGGTTTTCAAATATAACATGATGATGAAGTTAGATCTTGCAGAATTGAGAAGAAGCTTCATAGGTGGTATAATGTGCAATTTGGAATTTTTTTAGTTCCAACTAAAGAACCTAGAAGTTCATATCATTCTCAAGGATATGATGTAGGATCTTCCATGTCAATTCATGTATTTCAAATGGGAAAAGGATTTTTATGGAGGTTTCTCAAATTGTCAATCTCAAATGCATTTCAAAAGGACTCGTTGATAACTGATGGCTGAAGATTCGATGATGAACAATTGAGATTTGCTCAAAACTTCATCCCATTTTGATCCATAAACCATTAGTCTGTTACAGTTCATCTAACCAGATTAAAGCCCAAATTCATTCCAGGTTGCTTTAGTCAACGTTTTCTTCCCTTCTTTGTATTTTCATATTCTGATTCAAATTTGTTGGTCAAAGTTAATTCAACATTGAAAGTGATCGAAGATGTATTTAGTTTCACATCTAATTTAGTGTTGCAATTGGGAACGAAAATGATTTTAGTGTTTGCTGATTATTGAAATTGAAGAGTTAAAAGGTTGTGAGAATAAAAAAAAGCAATGCACGAACAAAGTTTGAAAACTCAAACCTTGAGTTAGGTGATGTTTGTTTTTCTGAAGCAAAAATTTATGTAGTCTGTGGTCCACCTCTACAACCCTCTGAAGTAGAAGAGGTGGATCAAACGGTTGTAGACTGTAATAAGAAGCGTGTTTCGTTTTTTAACATCTGCATGTTGCTACAAATATTAAAAAATTAAAATAAACTGATTTTATAAACCAAAAATAATTTTTTAATGCTGAAAATTTAATAATGTATGACATTTCAGCAATAACTTTTGATATTTCCACAAAAAATAATGATATTTCAACATAAAATAATGATATTTTAGCAAAAAATTAATGATATTTCATCAAGAAATTATCATTATTCAATATAAAAAAACGAAAAAAAAATTAACAAGAATAAACAAAAAAACGAATATATATATATAAAATAAGATTTCAAAAACATATAATCAAGATTTTAGCAAGAAAAAAGAAGAAGAATAGGTTAGAAGAGGCAATACAAGTGTTGCACCAAACAGAACACACGCAAAGGTTTTAACTTTGAAGAATTCTAAAAAACAAACAACTGTGAGATTAAAAGTGTTGCGCATGTGCTACGCCGCACATCAATAAGAGGTCTGAAGAGGATTTTTTACAAAAAACAAAAAACACCATGATCTTTAAGATCAATGTATGATTCTAATTAGTTGGTACAGTGAAGTTTGATAAACCAATCGAGATTTGAAAATTATATTCAACAAAGTATTCAAGTAGAAAAATGAAGTAAGTTTGAGTATCATCAAAGTAAAGACAATTTAGAACAAGAGGAATGAAAGTGAAAGAAATTGACTTGCAATAAAGTTTGAATTAATGTGAAGAGAATATCAATTTCTTGTAT